TAATAAGATACGTAAAATGAGGTGCTGCGGCTCGAATGAAGATGAAAATCACTTCATGTTTGAATGTACAGCATATCATTTATTTTAGAGATAAGTATTTTCCATATTGTGAACAGGATAGCATACTGTCTTAATATCTTCATTTCATTAGTAGTAATTGTACCCATACACTGTTTACAGGGCGAACTATATCAAAGAAGCACTTGGTGTCCGAAATTCTGTTACATCTTCTGTAATAAGCTAAAGTGTTTCTGTATAATTTGCTACTCTTTATATTGAAAGCTGTTTACATAGGCCAATGGCCTATAAAACCGAACTAAAATTGATTGATAATCTCGATTTACTAAGTCATACGGTATGACATGAATTTGTTCCTGAAGTAACCCGTCACTGACAAATTAAAAAAAATATCATCTATTATTATTATTATTTTTACTGATTAAAGATGAAAATGCAGCAGAGAGGGTTCGGGTGATCCTGGCACAGTCAGGCTGGTAAGGCTTATCATCAGCTCAGGGCCCTTGCCCCCCTCTACACACAGCCCAGACAGCGAATGAGACTTCTCCCGGGAAACACTGCCCAGTCGAACTCACTAAGAACTTTCCGGAGAATATGAAGGCTCCCCAACACTGCAGCCTTCTGCATGCATTGTACTCCCGGTGGAGAACCCTGGCACTCTCCTGATCTGCGCCAAGAGATCAGGAGGTACCAAACCAAGGGCACTGAGAACAATGGGGAGCCTGACGACAGTGTACTTTACATGCAAGCGAGACATTTTAAAGGCGAGTCCGCATATTTATCATACTTTTCCTGAATCTTGCCAATCACTTTGCTGTCAAAAGGGACAGAAAATTCAATGATATGAATAAATTCATTGGCTTTATCAAAAAGGACAAGATCAGGTTTGTTGGCAGGAATTCTTCTCAGGCTGTATTTGACCTGTTCCACAGAAGTTTGAAAGCATCATTTTCCATGACGCCCTGGACATGTTCAGGGTCGTACCATGGAAGGACCTCGGAGTCAAAGCCACAGGCATGGCGGAGACGATAATAAAAGCAGCGAGCCATGCTATCATGTCTTTTAAGATATGCTGTTTGTGCCAAGGGAGGGCATCCACTGACAAGGTGTTGGACAGTCTCTGTGAATTCATTGCACAATCGACATTTCATATTGATATTTTGTTTAAGAATCACACATTGGCGATTACGAGTGGGAAGTGACTGATCCTGAGCAGCAAAAAGAAAGCCCTCAGTTTTACATTTGAGACCAGCCGACTTCATCCAGGCGAAGGAGTAGGTGGGATTGCTATTCTGTTCCACACACTGCATGTACACACGATGCAATGGCTTCTCAGAAAGCTTCTCCACAAAAGACCGACTCTGGGCAGACTTAGTGAAGGACTTCACCTGGTTTACTCCTATCGTTGTACCGTCCAGCAGTACATCGCCATCAGCAAAGTCAACCTCATTATTATTATTATTATTATTATTTGTTATAGGGGATATTTATATAGCGCAATTATCCATGCAACTATTACATGCTCAAGGCGCTGGGATTTTCCCCCTCTATCATTGGATGTCAATCTCAACGGCACATCCCGGGGGATCATACAACTCTTGCAGCCACTAGGCTCACCAAATTGTTCCGCCCTTTCCATCCTTACGAGTTACCCATTCACAGCTGGGTGGACTGGGACACATAGTCTTAGTACTTTGTCCAAGTTCACTGCACGTTGCTGTACCCGCAACTAGGTGTCTGCACGCATTAATGTGCACCATCAGTAGCTATACCAACGGATTCGTGGGTTCTTATAAGTGCACAGGGTTGTGTACTGTACACTAGGGGTTGTGACAACACTGAAAGCGTCTGCACACAAAGCTGACACCAAGGTTTTTTACACCCGTGGTCACAGGTGGGCTCGATACCGGCACCTCAAGCTAGTTCACCATGCCCCCATGTAGATCAAAGAAGCCTGCGCCATTGGGAGATTACAGTAACTGACAAAAAAATACAATCAACACAAAATTGTCTGAATCGTATCCTTATCTCTGAAACCTGTAATGATCTTCAGTGTGGAAGTTCATTGATTCTATATGCAAAGATACATTTTAACGAACGACTGTTTACTGCGATGATGGCTGATAGCAGCCGAGTTTCTTTCGTCAATGCTGAATAATCCGTTTGTGTATTGGTACTTATTAATACATGAAGGTAACAAAGAATATATTAAAGGACGATATGAACATTCTTACAATGAATTCTGTAAAACCACTGGAGATCCCCTGAGTAGCAGTTCTGACTACCTCTACAGTACTTCGTCTTTGTTATCGTGTCACGAGAACCTTGTTGAAGAAAGAGTTATTATTGAGGCTTGTCTTCCTGCCAAATAACCTAGTGCCAAGTGTGTATTGTTGTTCAGTATGTTCAGGCCATATACCAGGCCTTCCGCGTGACGACCACAACACGTAACTGCTAGTCTACCCCACAGGTCTGTAATCATATGTTGCTGGGGCTTTTTACATTCATTGTGTGGATTTCTTTCTTCATAAAGTACATTTATTACTTCTCTTGATACCTGTTTTATGTCAATGCCCAACAGGAACCTATTATGTAACCTTGTTTTGTTTTTCACCACGCCGTGTCCAAAAGAAAGTCACTGTAACCTTCGAAATACTGTACAATGGGCCTACCTTCTGCCGTTCAGAGAAATCAAACACATCTTATACTTCTCCAGGTACAGTATGGCTGAAATACTTTTAATCTGAATGAACTCACGCACTCGTAATATTGATTGTAACTCACACTCGTAATATTGATTGTAACACGCGGATGGAAAGTGATGGAAGTTGTTATGATTCAGGTTGATCTATGTTTCATTTGTTTTCTTGCACCATTGTCTGAATACGTCTGATCCTCATTGATTAAGTGATGTCAACATGTAGGGGAAATGACTTAAAATGTTCAATATTGTAAGTGTGAGTGAGTTAGGATTTAAAGTCACAGCCATATCGTGACTAAAACAAGTAATAATTTTAGAATAAACTAATATTGTCAGAGATATTAGTTACCAGATCTAGTTGTATGATACTAATGAGACAATGGAAAACATTGCGAGGAAAGAGGACTGTGTTATGACTGTGTTATGACTGTGTTATGACCGCCAACGATCTTGAAAGCCGTTGGCAAGATGACAAGAAAGGCAAGATGTGGATGCAGAACTGGTATGCTTTAACGGTTTAGTCTCGGTTTGCCACCGCCTTGAATGTTCTTTTAATGGATTAGGGGCTTACAGCTCAGTGAATTTCTTGTTTTAGGGTGTTTCATCTAATATATTTTGGTAATATTTATTGGACAAGATAAATTAACAAAGATATTAACAAAGCAGTTTCACACAAACATTTTATTACACAAGCTTATTCACATTAACATTAACATCTACAGTCCAATCAGATGTTGAGTTCACTCACTTCGTATAGTGACTCACTGATTATTTAATATTATAAATTCAATTGAAGATTTAAAACACACACACATAAGAAACAGGCCATAATAGTTTAATTTCATATATCTACTGTTACCTAATTTTATGTACACTTTGATTTCATATTGCCACTACATTTCATGGCATTTGATTTTGTATATCTACAGTTACCTTATCTACTATAAACTTTAATTTCATAGTGCCACAACATTTCATGACAATGAATAAAACAGACTATAGTAATCCACCCATTGTGCACCCGTCTATCATGGCTGACTGCATTTGCAACCAGAGGCGGTATTCATAAAAGAACTTAAGTCTGAAATAACCTTTTCACTATTTCTGACTTAAGTTTTGAGATTTTACTCAAGTCATATTCATAAAGGAACTTAGGCTTAAGTTTTGGCTATTTCTGACATAAATCTTAAGACTGGGCAGGGGTAGGCTTAACTGGAAGGTGTTTGCCAGTAAACAATATGGCTGCCGTAGCGCTGAGGCGTCGTTCATTTCACCAAAGAAGGCAAAGTCTCGTTGAATACAGCGATAAAGAATTAATTCAGCGATACCGTCTAGATGGGAATGGCATTAGATTCGTCGCCAGTCTAATAGCGCCAGACGTAGAGCCCACAAACACCCGTAACCACGCACTGGATGCCTCACAAAAGACGCTCATCACATTGAGTTACTTTGCCACCGGACAATTTCAGTTGTGCAATGCGGACGATCAAGGTGTCAGCCAGCCAACCATTTCCAGAGCTGTGAATGACTGCATACGGAGTTTGTCATCTGACAGGATTGTCAAACAGTTCGTTCGCTTCCCCCTACAACTTCTTGACATCAGGCGTCACCAGACCAACTTTTATCAGATTGCAAACTTTCCCGGAGTTGTGGGGGTGATCGACGGAACGAACGTTCAGATTCAAGCCCCAACAGTAAACGAAAATGAGTTTGTAAACCGGCATCATACCACAGCATCAATACACAGATCGCTTTCGATAGCGAAGACAGGATAATTGACGTTGTCGCTCGGTGGCCTGGATCGACACACACAGAGATGCCAACCCTATTTTGGGCCTAAGTATTAATACTGGAGGTCAAAAAGTGTAATTTGGACCACAAAAGTGTAATACTTGAAAAAATACTTAGTGAAAGGTGATAACTTTAAAAATTACTTGTAAAAAGGTTAATTCACATGAACAGGAAATATTCTAGACAGAAATACACGTGACCAATCATTATGAAGCTCCATACATCGAAAATTGTTGGTCATGAGACACAAAATACTTTAATTCCTTACAAGTTAATTGGAATGAGCGCGATGCTAAGAGTAAGACCATTTCTGAACCCCTGTACCGGTGCGTTACGAAACACATCCTTGTGAAATTGTTTCCACTTTATTGATTTTCTTAAAACGAGTAGAAAAGCGTATTTTTCGCAGATTAAGTGTAATGGCGTAATTAAATGGTCAAAATCGTAATAATTACACCCACAGCGTAAGGGTTGGCATCTGCACACGATTCACGCATATTGACCAACAGCGGTCTCTACCAGTTGTTCTTCCGGAATGTTGTCCCCATCGGATGTCACCTTTTCGGTGACAGTGGTTACCCCTGTAAGAAGTGGCTTCTAACCCCTTTCCTAAGACCATTGGCAGGACCACAAACAAACTACAACAGGTATGTAAACTTCCGTGTAAAGTTGCCGATTGTGATCAGCAACATAGAGTGGTGTCCCTTGTATTTACCTCGAATAAACATTGCGCAATCGTACTCATTACACATTATATATCACAAACGTTATTACATTTAGTCTGGATAACAGAAGCAAAATACAGTTTTCATAAAATACGAATTCTGTAATCAGGTTGTAGACTTTTTGACTATGCTGGATATTACTAGAAATTATTTTCTTAAAACATCATAAACCACCTAAATAATCTATGTAACTGTTACTGTATTATTATTTATTTTTCAGTTATTTACTGAATAAGTGGAGTTTACAATGACAACACAGACTGTTGTTTATTGTTTACTGTGCTGGAGATTTATGTACAGGTTACTCTATGATATTTTAATTCATAACCCAGATCGCATAAAAGAACAAGGAGCAGTTTTGAAAGGGCCATTGGCCAATTCAAGTGCAGATTTCCTGTTCTTCATGGGGAAATCAGGTTACAACCTGATAAGGCTTGCAAGGTAAGAAAAATATAATCAACAACAGTTATTTCTTTAGCACTGTTTACTTGCCACATAAATAATACAAATACATTGACAAGGTAACAAAGCTAAATGGCAACAATATGATTAACAAATTACAATTTTGCAAGATGTATGAATCACTGAAAATATGTAACTATATTATATATAACTATATACCACGAATTTGATATGGGTTGTCATTAGTGGTGGTCCGATTAATTGAAATAATCGAAGATTGGTCGTAGTGATTGGTCGTAGTGACTAAACGACCAAGCAATCGATCATAATTTCTCATAATCGAACACAAACAATTCTGGAACACTTGTTTTCACTAACAATATTTTTCACATGGTTGTTTTTGTCTGTTATATTTCGTAAGCACTACAAGCTCGTTTCAAGTCATGATTGAATTTATCTTAAAGATTCCAAGAAAATTATGTTCTTAACATACTAGTCATCGTTTAAAGATATGAAATTTTGCCAAAAAAAATCCAAAAGAACTACATGGTTTTTTCCTTATTTTTATGTGCATTAACAAATTTCATAAATGACGCTAACCAATTATTTTCGATGATTGATCGGTAGTAATGAACCAATCATCAATTATGAGATTTTAACCATTCCCAACACTAGTTGTCATGAACTTCTATTTACTGATGCCATTGAAAATATGTAAAAGACAATACAGTAGTTCATCATCTCAAAATGTATACTGCATGGCCATGTCTATACTGACTTTTGTATCTAAATTATTCCATATTTCAGGTGATCATAGCATGTGCTGTCCTTCACAACATATGCAAGGACAGGAACATTCCTTTACCACCCACAGATAGGCATGATGGGTTTGGAAGGCATGATGGGCAGAATGGAGGTCTACCAGGAATCACTCCACCAGTGGCTGCACTGAGATATAGGGAGCACTTGGCCAATACAAACTTTCCATGTAAGATGATTGTAGGATCTTATATCATAGTGTCACAGTTAGAACTATAAATGGTAGATTATTTTATTATATTTAATACAGACATTCCTCCCAAAAACAAAATTCAGTTTTATCACTCATACAATTAATACATTCAACACAATAGCTTTATTTAATTGGAATATTGTATATTCCCTCATCTTCCTAACTATGTACTATTGACAATTTAATTACTAAGTGATCGTAGTAGCGACTGTCTAACACGTTGATTGTAGTAGTGAATGTCTAACACGGTGATCGTAGTAGTGAATGTCTACACATGGTGTAGTAGTGAATGTCTAACACGGTGATTGTAGTGAATGTCTAACACGGTGATTGTAGTAGCGAATGTCTAACACGGTGATTGTAGTAGCGAATGTCTAACACGGTGATTGTAGTAGCGAATGTCTAACACGGTGATTGTAGTAGCGAATGTCTAACACGGTGATTGTAGTAGCGAATGTCTAACACGGTGATTGTAGTAGCGAATGTCTAACACGATGATTGTAGTAGCGAATGTCTAACACGGTGATTGTAGTGTCTAACACGGTAGTAGTAGTAGCGAATGTCTAACACAGTGATTGTAGTAGCGAATGTCTAACACGGTGATTGTAGTAGTGAATGTCTAACACGGTGATTGTAGTAGCGAATGTCTAACACAGTGATTGTAGTAGCGAATGTCTAACACGGTGATTGTAGTAGTAGAATGTCTAACACGGTGATTGTAGTAGTGAATGTCTAACACGGTGATTGTAGTAGCGAATGTCTAACACGGTGATTGTAGTAGCGAATGTCTAACACGGTGATTGTAGTGAATGTCTAACACGGTGATTGTAGTAGCGAATGTCTAACACAGTGATTGTAGTAGCGAATGTCTAACACGGTGATTGTAGTAGCGAATGTCTAACACGGTGATTGTAGTGAATGTCTAACACAGTGATTGTAGCGAATGTCTAACACGGTGATTGTAGTAGCGAATGTCTAACACGGTGATTGTAGTAGCGAATGTCTAACACGGTGATTGTAGTAGCGAATGTCTAACACGGTGATTGTAACACGGTGATTGTAGTAGCGAATGTCTAACACAGTGATTGTAGTAGCAACACGGTGATTGTAGTAGCGAATGTCTAACACGGTGATTGTAGTAGCGAATGTCTAACACGGTGTGATTGTAGTAGTGAATGTCTAACACGGTGATTGTAGTAGCGAATGTCTAACACGGTGATTGTAGTAGTGAATGTCTAACACGGTGATTGTAGTAGCGAATGTCTAACACGGTGATTGTAGTAGCGAATGTCTAACACAGTGATTGTAGTAGCGAATGTCTAACACGGTGATTGTAGTAGCGAATGTCTAACACGGTGATTGTAGTAGCGAATGTCTAACACGGTGATTGTAGTAGCGAATGTCTAACACGGTGATTGTAGTAGCGAATGTCTAACACGGTGATTGTAGTAGCGAATGTCTAACACGGTGATTGTAGTAGCGAATGTCTAACACGGTGATTGTAGTAGTGAATGTCTAACACGGTGATTGTAGTAGCGAATGTCTAACACGGTGATTGTAGTAGCGAATGTCTAACACGGTGATTGTAGTATGAATGATTGTAGTAGTGAATGTCTAACACAGTGATTGTAGTAGCGAATGTCTAACACGGTGATTGTAGTAGCGAATGTCTAACACGGTGATTGTAGTAGCGAATGTCTAACACGGTGATTGTAGTAGCGAATGTCTAACACGGTGATTGTAGTAGCGAATGTCTAACACGGTGATTGTGATCTGTAGTAGCGAATGTCTAACACGGTGTGATTGTAGTAGTGAATGTCTAACACGGTGATTGTAGTAGCGAATGTCTAACACGGTGATTGTAGTAGCGAATGTCTAACACGGTGATTGTAGTAGCGAATGTCTAACACAGTGATTGTAGTAGCGAATGTCTAACACGGTGATTGTAGTAGCGAATGTCTAACACAGTGATTGTAGTAGCGAATGTCTAACACAGTGATTGTAGTAGCGAATGTCTAACACGGTGATTGTAGTAGCGAATGTCTAACACGGTGATTGTAGTAGTGAATGTCTAACGGTGATTGTAGTAGTGAATGTCTAACACGGTGATTGTAGTAGCGAATGTCTAACACGGTGATTGTAGTAGCGAATGTCTAACACGGTGATTGTAGTAGCGAATGTCTAACACGGTGATTGTAGTAGCGAATGTCTAACACGGTGATTGTAGTAGCGAATGTCTAACACGGTGATTGTAGTAGCGAATGTCTAACACAGTGATTGTAGTAGCGAATGTCTAACACGGTGATTGTAGTAGCGGTGATTGAATGTCTAACACACAGTGATTGTAGTAGCGAATGTCTAACACGGTGATTGTAGTAGCGAATGTCTAACACAGTGATTGTAGTAGCGAATGTCTAACACGGTGATTGTAGTAGTGAATGTCTAACACGGTGATTGTAGTAGCGAATGTCTAACACAGTGATTGTAGTAGCGAATGTCTAACACAGTGATTGTAGTAGCGAATGTCTAACACGGTGATTGTAGTAGCGAATGTCTAACACGGTGATTGTAGTAGCGAATGTCTAACACAGTGATTGTAGTAGCGAATGTCTAACACGGTGATTGTAGTAGCGAATGTCTAACACGGTGATTGTAGTAGCGAATGTCTAACACGGTGATTGTAGTAGCGAATGTCTAACACAGTGATTGTAGTAGCGAATGTCTAACACGGTGATTGTAGTAGCGAATGTCTAACACGGTGATTGTAGTAGTGAATGTCTAACACGGTGATTGTAGTAGCGAATGTCTAACACGGTGATTGTAGTAGTGAATGTCTAACACGGTGATTGTAGTAGCGAATGTCTAACACGGTGATTGTAGTAGCGAATGTCTAACACGGTGATTGTAGTAGCGAATGTCTAACACGGTGATTGTAGTAGCGAATGTCTAACACGGTGATTGTAGTAGCGAATGTCTAACACGGTGATTGTAGTAGCGAATGTCTAACACAGTGATCGTAGTAGCGAATGTCTAACACAGTGATCGTAGTAGCGAATGTCTAACACAGTGATCGTAGTAGTGAATGTCTAACACGGTGATCGTAGTAGTGAATGTCTAACACGGTGATTGTAGTAGTGAATGTCTAACACGTTGATCAGTGGCTGTATAACATGGTTATCGAAGTGGTAGAATCATAACACGCTGGTTAAAATAGTGGATGCCTAATGTGGTGATGGAATAAGTATATATACCACTCTCTAAAAGAACATAGTGTAACTAGCTGACCCAATTGTTGGCTCCGAATCAGTATCTCACACAGCTAAAAGCAGAACTTACTTCTAGAGCTGTCTAAAACGGCCTTAACTGTCGTGGTTCGCGGCTCAAAAGAACAGTCTACATTTACTTTACAAGTACGAGATGAGACTGCATTGAGTGGGTTCCAGTGATAGATGGTTCCAGTTAGATATTGGTTTGAACTTATTAATACCTACTTCTCTGTCTGACTGATGGGCAGCTGACTAATCGGGTAACCCGTGAATAAGTATGTTGCCACGGAGATCTAAAGGGCTTCAAAAGATAAAATGTTGGTAAAATTGTTCTGAACGTTGACGCTGTGATGTGAAACAGCATCATCAGTGTGAAACATTTGCTCCAGTTTGTACGATGCAGTACATGTTGTATGGGGGCGGTGGGGTAGCCTAATGGTTAAAGCGTTGGCTCGTCACGCCGAAGACCCGGGTTCGAATCCCCACATGGGCACAATGTGTGAAGCCCATTTCTGGTGTCCCCCGCCGTGATGTTGCTGGAATATTGCTAAAAGCGGCGTAAAACCAAACTCAGTCAGTCAGTCAGTCAGTCAGACAGACATGTTGTATGTCCTTGTGTCGTTTATACTCGTGGCTCTCGCACAGTTAAGTCAGTAGATATTATCCCTGTAGAACAGGCGTCTTTGTCAATAGAGCTCCACTTCCCCTTTCCAAAGCGTTTAATGTTCATTATCCTAGATCATTAACATTCCAGATAGTAGTCCCAAGTGCTCGTAATCAGTTCACATTTAAAAAACCCTACCCCTTTCCCAACCTTTCTGCACAGTGTGCTGAAATGTTTGCTTTTGGTCGGCAGCGCACTGTTTCCCAAATATGAAACTTCAACCATCAGTTTACCCGCTCTAATCTCACCGATGTGCTGTTTGCCAGATCGTCAGGTAACAGCGAGACCTTACACAACGTCATTGAATCACCTGCTGTTGTTTTGATTTCACCAAATTAACATTTGCTTTTTCTTGATTATGGTAAATCAGGTGTTAATTAACATTTTAGGAAAAGGGCAATCAGTGTAAATCGGTACAGAGGCTATACAGTCACTATTGGCAAACGCCATCTCATTGTTTTACTACAGCACCAGACGAAGGTTTACACAAGTAGCAATTAGCCAGTTACGCAGACTTACCTTGAAATGTACCTCATATTTACCTCATGGCAGCATCCAACCAATCAAATAGTACCTCTCAATCAATGGTACCTTTGACTCTTTTCCATATTGAGTTGTCTTCATTATCACCTAAACTAGAGACTAGCAGTGCGTCAGTGACAGCGAACAGCACAATACACGGTACCGGTGTGACGAGTGTTTTGGAGTACTCTGGAACCATGTCTCTAATCCATCTGATTTCTTTGCTTATTGTTTCAACCAGACAATCAACATTCTCTGCCAGCCTTGACGACGTACATCGCCTACGTCATCACCTATTTAACAACTACACCTCAGATGTAAGGCCATCGTCAAACCAGTCACAGTCTCTACTTGTGGATGTCAATTTCCGATTCATGAGGATCCATCGTATTGACAATACAAAAAAAGAGTTCTCCATTCGGGGAATACTGTCCCTTGCCTGGAAGGACGACTTCCTCTCTTGGAAATCAGCTGATTTTGGAGGTCTGGGACATTATCACCCAAAGAAGGGGGAAATTTGGACT